CAACAGACGGAAAGAAAACCAAAAGCTGAACCTACGAGTGACACCGACACCCCCCAACCACCCAGAGGCAAATATTTCTCCTAAATCTGTCCCCGTCGTTTTATGCAAGAAAAATTAATTCTGAAATTATGCAAACTGAGCCCAAAATTATGTGAAATAATGCGATTCTGTTAATTTTAACAAAGAATGATACAGGAAAATAATCAGAAATTATGCAAAAAAATGATCAAATTTTGCTAAATTATGCGGGGTGCTTAAGACCACGGGGGCAGCTAAATGATGTGACAACCATCATGTTAGCAAATCCATAACTCACTACACTTAAAGTAGAGCTCACCCACACTAAGTCCTGTTATATAATATTACAGGCTCTCTCTCTCTCTCTCTCTCTCTCTCTCTCTCTCTCTCTCTCACACACACACACACACAACATATTATGCACTTTCAGATGATGGTATTTAACCAGCTATTTCGGACAGCAGCAACAGCAACAGCAACTTAACGACGACGACAGCAACAACACATATTAAACAACAGTAAGAATCGCCTTTGTCAGAACGAAGCCTGCAAAACACTTCCGAAGCAGCGTTACCATGGTGAGAATTTTTTCATTTTGTTTTAGTAGAGGTTTTACGGCGCTCGCAATTGCATTTATAAGGTCATATGAGCGCCAATTTTTCACTAGAAAAAAATCTACAACTGTTTTTGTTGTTGTTTTTTTTAGTTTTTAGTTTAGTGTGAAGTTTTACCGCGCTCGCAACTGCAGAAGGTCATACGAGCGCGCGGTCCACTGCAAGGCTGGTCAACTATCAGACTTTAACATGTTAAAATATTAAAATTCGGTGTAAATTCAATATAAAACAACTCTTTTAAATAACATAAAATTTTTTGAACATTTTTCTTTCTCTTTACAATTTTCCATAAAGGCAAATGGCCTTCATAAAATAAATGCCTTTCACCCCTGGCAGGGTATAGGCCACATACAAGCTCCTTCCATTTATCTCTGTCCTGGGCCATCCTTCCAAGCTTGTTCCAAGTGAGCGTCATCTCTCTCATGCCCCTTTCCACGCATCTCTTCCATGTTTCCCGTGGCTTACCCCTGCCCCGAGCTCTCTGTGGGTTCCACTACCTACCTACTACCTATCTATCTATCTATTTATCCATCTACCCACCCATCAATCCATCCATCCATCTCCAGAGTCCCCGCGTCCTGCTGCCAGCCATGGCCAGCCCCCTCCTATTCTCGGCCGCCTATCTATCTATCTATCCATCAATCCATCCATCTATCTCCAGAGTTCCCGCGTCCTGCTGCCAGCCATGGCCAACCTCCTCCTGCTCTCAGCGACCTCCGTGTCCGCAGGCGCCAAGCGGGGACACTGCGCCTACTACGGGGTGTGTGACGACGACGGACAGACGACAAGCGCCATCGACAACCCTCCAACAAACCCAACACAGCCCCCGGCCAACAACCCAACTCCCACCACCACCTCTTGCGGCGGCCCGTGCCAGAGGCGAGTCTGCTACTACACCAGCTGGGCCCAGTACCGACAGGGCGACCGGAACAAGTTCTTCCCGGAGGACATTGACCCCTCCCTGTGCAGTCACGTGATGTACTCCTTCGCCAAGATGGTGGGCAACAACTTGGCGCCCGTCGAGCCGAACGACGAGTCCACGAACTGTACGAGCGGCAACTATGAGAAGGTTGGTCATGTCGAAAAGACGAAATCTACTTCGTGTTTGTTGTTTTTAAGTTTTAGCTGTACAATAATACAAAGAACACAAAGTTCTACGGCACATGCGACACAATTAGGTCAACTAAGTGCCGAAGATTAGAGGTGTTACAAGAGAGTAACAAACAACAACAACAACAACAACAACAACAAAGAAAAAAAAAGAGAAGGAGAGATCAGGATGCCATATGTTTGGTTGAAAAAAACGGAGCAAACCCCACCAGAGCACCCGCCAACGATCCACCGCGTTTGTTTGAGTAACCGCATTGACACGAAAACGATCCACCGCGTTTGTTTGAATAAGCGCATTGACACGAAAACGATCGTTTCGATCTTTTTTTTTATTTTAAAGTAGAGGTTTTGTGGCGCTCGCAACTGCAAAAGGTCATATGAGCGCCAAGGGGGTGGATGTCAACAGAGAAGTCCATAAAAAGGGAATCTGGTTTACTCTACTCACCTCTCTAGCCTCAACAGCACAAAGTCTGCGTCGACAATCAAGGCACCCCGGAAATAGCGGGTCACAAGAGCGTGACAAACATACAAAAGAAGTAGAGGAAACATGACGATAGTAAGGGTTAGGAAAGAAAAAGCAGCAGTTCCCTGTTGCAGTTCAGGCACAGTTATAGAATGACATTGATGAATCAGCGCATTTACAATTCTACTGTGCATAAGAACATGTTAATGTCCCCCTTTTGGTAATGGCCTAAAGACATTTCAGTTAGTAGCACCGCAAAGGGAGGTGGAATTCGATCGTTACAAAATTAAACACACAAGACTGAAAAAACAACAACAAACGAAAGAGATAGTCCCCTCTCCCACCCCAACCATCCGCTCACGCCAATTTCTACACTAATCTTCTAGATCACTCACAATGTCTATACAGTAGAACGTGGCTATAGCGGCACCCACAACAGCGGAACCACCCTTACAGCGGGACCTTAGCGGAATCCTCTTTGTCTAGGTAAACTCAATTACCTGTGCTCGGGTTTAGCGGGGAAAGGAAAGGCCCGAACTCGGGATGCAGCGGGAGAGATCGAGCGCGCTCTAGCTGGGGGAATGGGGTTGGAGGGCTGTAAGCGGGGCTGCAAACAGGCAGTCAGCGGTGTGGCGTTGTGATTGGCCAGTCCAGTGATGAGTGAGGTGGGGCAGGTGGCAGAGAGAGAGATGGTGCGGAGAGACGCGTTACGCGAGCATCTCCAAATGTGATAGGCAATAGCCCCTGACTTAGGCTAGCCCAAAAAGTAAAAGAAGAGGATACCGTGTGTGCAGTGTGTGATTCCTGATTCATTGAATTGCGATCGTTGATGCTCATAGGCATACGCACGCATCCACTTCACCAGTTCTGCAGTAGGCCTACCGGTACGATAGACAGCACAAGCAACGAGACCGAGGAAAAGATGACAATGACAATGACAATGGCAATGACAATGACAATCTTTATTCATCTCGCAGGGAGAAATTAATTGTCTTGGTCGTGAACAATGGCAGTAGACGTTA